AAACCTGTGAGGCAGTGTGAGTGCCGGGTTTATGTTTAGTCTCCCCAAGTAGACTTGAGACTTCTTGAGGGCTTGGAGCCTATGACTCAAATGTTTACTACAGTGCAAATGGAAACACCTCCTAGGAAATAACAAATCAGTGAAAATGGCAGCCCACAGTGCAGTCTTAGCCATCCCGGCTCTAATAGTGGAGCAGTACTGGTGCAAGTATGCCCAGATTCAAATAAAAGGCTGCAAACAATGTGTCACCTGAACCATCTGGATTGTCGACCTGACAAGATCTCTGTGTCTAATCATGGATCTGAGTGGCCTCTCAGCTCTTGTCCTTGCTCTTGCTGCAGTGCCGGAGAGGAGAAAGCATGTGCCAAAAATGCTAATGAGAGGAAGCCAGCTAGTTCTCCTGGAGCCCTGCTTTTCCTTCAGTGCCCTTCGGTCTTCAACTCTAGCTGCAAAGAATTTCCCAAAGAAAACTCTCTGAATAAAGCCATCAGTTCACAGTCATCTCCATGACACCCACTTGTCCATTCTCTGGGGAGAAATGCCAAGTAGAATGTGCACTGCTGATCTGACCCTCTCAGAGTCGCACCACAATCCCTAATTCAAAGCCTTCTCCTTCCATACCAGACCTGGCCATCTCAGACACATCTGGCCCTCACGGGGTGAATCAGTTCATCATGGGGCTGCCTTATGGGTCATTTTATAGATGAAGAGACAGACCAGGCCACACTGGGGTGGATGTCGAACCCACACACCTCTTGCTTGGAAGCCCCTTGCCTAAGTGTGGGCTGAGAGGCAAATCCTGACCCCCTCCCATCTGCGTAGATTTCACCTCACTCAATGGGTGTTGTTAAAAACTTACAGCAGGACTAAGGTGCTTAGATTTGCTGCTAAGTATAATCAGGGGTCATTGTGTTTTTTAACTTTGGGATGATGAATGGAAAAGGACTGGAAATGTTTGAGAGATAGTCTGACAAACGCTGGGTGATAGAATCAGAGCAAGCAGTAATCAGGGTGTGACTCTGGAAGTGAGGGCACAGATGGGAAAAGGCTGAGTGTGAGGGGCCAACCTGGAAGCAGGGCAGGACCAGCGACCTGAGCAGGAGCAGGAAACCAATGCAAGGCAGAGCAGTCAAAAAAGGACTGCGGATTTCTGGTTTACTCCCAGACAGCTGTGAGAAGGCCAGGCTCATGACTGTGATAACATGACACAATATAAGGAGGTCCCTCTGTGAGAAACCCTTTCAGCTGTAATTAGTGGTGGCTCAAGGCACACTACTCCATCCTTCCTGCTACCAATAGAGAGCTACAATGGACGGGGAGCTACATGGAACAGATCTGAGCCAGAGATCAAGAAAAAGATACCTTTTTTTTTTTTAATTTTCCAATAAATTTCATTTACAAAAGAGTGACCAGCCCATATTCTGCATATGATAGGGTGTCTGTTAAAAAGATAGCTTGTGTGGGTTGATAGGAAACCAACAGGAACGGGTGTGGCTCCCGGGCCCAGCACCTTGGGAAATTCCAATACAGTCTCAGGTGCGTGACAAGCCACCAGATGTGCTGATGGTGACAGCTGCATCGTGTTGTGTGCTGTCCTTTCCTAATTAGCTCTTAGGTCCTTCAATCAGCAGGCTGCTGTCCTTAGAGGAAAGCAACAGCTTCAGCCCTCACCATAGAATCCACCACAAGACAGGAAAGAAACCAAACTTTGTAGAGTCATTGCTTCTGGGCAATGCAAGCCCCAATGTGGAAGGAGTTCCGACAGGGCCATACAGTCAGCAAGGGCCGTGGTGGCTCCTGTGGCTTGAGTCTGGCCAGCTCTAAGCTCAATGGCATATATTAAAAAAATTGTAATGGGGTTACAGTAATGACACAACATTGTAAGATTTGATTGGGATGAGGAAAGCTGAAACTTCCCTAGTTCTTTCTTTCGTCGTTAAAATTTGCATCTTTTTGCAGTTCTCATATTATAGTAATTATTACTACAGTGAAACAGCCGAGGGCCCACTAGGGAAAAATTATGTCAGAGAAAAGGAAACAACTCAGGTTTTATTTCTTTTGTGTTTTATCATGCATGTAACTCCTTGGAGAGTTCAGGAAATATTTGTTTTCAACGTTCCTAATTCAGTAGTACTTTCAAAATCTGATTTAGTCAGACCTTGAAAAAAATCATATAAATCAACAGCAATTACCTAATTCTAAATTAAATCGTAACCCCAAAGAAATGTACTTTAGAACATTATAGACTCCAGGTAATCAGCAATATACTTCTACTTTTATAAAAGGACAAATAAAAACAGAAAATAAAATAAAAACCTCATGTATTATTTTAATTTAATCCTCAGAATGGCCTTCTGTTTGTATTTCAACATTTGAAATCTGGCCAACGTGCAAAGTCTGAAAAATAATTTTTAATTTTAAGAAGGTATAATTTACCAACTAATGTGTTTATTACTATTTAGAGACTACAAGAGCCTTATTTTTATTAATATCAAAAATTTCTGTAACCTTCTGGATAATAGCTTGGCTTCTGCATTTTTATTATACAAGAAGAACTTTGATGCTTTGATGCGTTAATAAAAGATAGCTTAAAAGATAGCCACATTAGAACATTTTGTACATTCAATCCCTTCCTATTTGTTAATTTGGCATTTTTTCAATCATACATTTTTGAAAGCATCAATTATTTCACATTAAAAATATAAATTCATATAGCAAATTATATACAGTTTTAATGCATTCAGACTCCTAAAGCTATAACCCATGACAGCACTGTAATTTATTTGATTTATATGTGTGCCCTGAGTTAATATTCTAATCATTTGCAAACTTAAGAGTTTTCTTGATAAATTGTTAGCCTTTGACAAATTATATTACATTTGTACAGAATAACACATTGTTTGTATATTGAACACTAGTTTGATGTATTTGCAAAATGTAAAATCCATCTTCTCAATTTCACTTTCATCCATTTGTCCAAAGCACTGAGATATTGCTAGTCCAACAGGTATACTGCTGCGTGAGATCTTCTCAAGTTTGCACCAGGACATTTGTAAAATGTCATTTTTCTAAAGTGTTCAATTTTTAGCAATTTTGAATATGACTTGGCAAGCTATTTGTTCATTCTAGGGCACTACTACTAAACCAAGTTTGAATACACTTTCTCTCAATTATGACAATATTGTATATATGAAGACAAAACTTGTAGGATGTGCTCATTCCTACACCATTTTGACTTGATACTACATTTTGACCCTAAATGGTGTCTTTCTCAATTAGATAGAACTCCAAGAAGAAAACAGATGTACAGTAAAGAAGGCCTCTCCACACAACGTCCAATGTATATTGGGGTATACAGTCAGCTATTGTGTCTAATATTCATTACTAATGTAAATGTTTACCTTTCTTGTTATTATTGGCATTTGGGAAGTCAAATTTGGTACCACCTGCTGGAACCCATCTTTATCCCCAAACCCCCTATGTCCTTTATGATAAATGATAAATATTTGTGGAATGGGGAATATTTGGCATGACTTGGGCAAAGGAGGGCATGCTGGGGAAGATGAAGAAGTAGGGTTAAGGGATGAGGGTGGGTCTTATTTGGTCTTAGCAGCAGGGCAGAGAAGTTCCAGCTAAGGTAGTCAGAGAGCAGAGCCATGAGTCTTTTAGGCAAATAGTATCAGAGTTGGGTTTAAGGTGTTTTGTCTGGCAGCAGCATGCAAAATGGATTAGGAGGAGAAAATCTAGAGTCAGGGAGATAAATATTAAGAAAAAGGGAGTCTCCTGTTGGGAACTTTATTATGACTAAACCAAAGTCAAGGGCCAACCACATCTCATAAAATCATGTCCCCTCTACATCTGATAGTATCTACATTTGATGCATTTGTATCATTTCCAAGAGGAGAGATATTATGAACTTCTAGCAGGCAGACACCAGATCTTTCATTTTCAAATCTCTGATCTTTGAAATATAGGTCTTTTAAAATGTTTATTGAGTGAATGAGTGGAAATGAGAGCGAACAAAAATGGGAGCAAAACATGAGTATATAGAGAATATAGAAAGCAAACAGTTTTTCTTGAACCCTGAGTCAAATGATAATAGACAACTTTAGGTTCCTGGCCACATATCTTTTCCTCTGAGAACTGGACAGTTGAAACAAGGGAGTATTTCATCATTGCCTTTCAGAAGTGTTACACTGGCTGAATCTCTGCTATGAACAAGAAGATGCAGGAAGGGATTTGCAATTTAGCACTCTCCAGTACCAAGTGGGACAGGAGGGACCTGTAGATAAGGGCAACCTGTGCATTCCTTCAGCTGGTAAACATGAGGCCTACGTGGCTAATTCCTCATGTGATGGGAAATGTACCACTATGGGGACCTATGAAAAGAACCCTTCCTTAACTGTAAAAATGATTCTTTTTCAAAGATAGCAGATAGTTTTAGAAAACATCCCACTAAAATACATGATGACAAGTTTATACACCCAGAAACGCCAGTATATCAAGAATCAAAGAAACGGTGGGTGGTAGTAATGTATCATCTGCATCCCAGGGAACTGTGGCCAGAGTAAAAGATCACAGTGAAGCATGGAATATTCCCAACACGATGAGACCATGAGCAGAGAGCCTTGAAGAACTGGCTCAGGCAAAGCCCAAACTGGATGATAAGATACAGCAGAGGCAACTATTGCAAAGTTAGAGAGTACCTGGAGGAGCCACAAAGTGAAAGTTAAGAGATCCAAGCCAAAAGGTCTTGAATCCAGAGGCCTATGAATGACCATGAGCCAAACTTCTCTTTGAAATGAATGGCCCCCCCAGGCTGGTTTGGATGGCCATTGCCCAACTGCTCTAGAGCTCACTTCTCACTATTTTTAAGCATTTCATAAATCTATTGCTTTCTTACATGGCAACTTTCTAAGGGAAGGCAATGCAGCGTAACAAAGAACAAAGCAGTTGAACTCTGCTTTTTCCTGAGCAACAGTAATGGGAAAGGTACTCACGTTCCACAAAGTAAGAGCTGGCATCAATCTTCCAGATGATCTGGCCCCGATGAGAACCATTGACTCCACGGTTCTTATAGTCCAAAAAGTTTTCTGACAAGACCTCATCTATATTCCCAGGAAAGAAAGAAAGCAGAATAGAAAAATATATCAGCTAACAGTATATTTAGGGAAAAAAGAAAAAGAGCAAAAAAATATTAATACTACCTCCAACTCAACAGAAGAAAAAGCACCCTGGAATCAGAGTCAGAGAGTTAGAAGTATCCTCACGTACCCTCTGAACCAACCCCTTCATAATGCAGGAATCTCCTCTGTACTCTGCAGTACTTCTTAGATCATCTGGCTGGTTCGTGAACACTTCTAGAAAAATAATTGTTTCTATGGCAGTCCATTTCACTCTTGAATAGCCCTCACATGTGTGAAATCTGCGTGTGAAAATCTTCCTCCTAAAGCTCTCAGTTACTGTCTCTATTTGGGTCTGTGAATGAGCCATAAAGAAAACATCCAATCACACTTTCTTTTGGGTCCCAGTCCTCTAGACCCCACCCTGTAGCATCTCTTCTCTAGCCTAAGTATCTATCATCCTTTAAAATCTGGGACTCATCCATGAATTTATCCACCCATTCTTCATGCAATCATACATTCATTTGTTCATTCAACAGATACTTGTTGAGATCCAACCGTCTGTCATGCTAGGGAAAATGCAGGAACCGTGGTGTTGGGCCAAACTAAAATGGTCCTTTTTGAACTAAAGTTTACAAATAATTGAAGACGGATTTTAAAACACCAGGAAAAGAAAAAAAAGTATTAATACAACCTGTGGTAAGGAATCAGAAGGAAAAGAACAGGGTGCTCTGACAGGGGGTTTCAAGGAAGGCCACCAGGGCCTCAGGGAAGCACTGAGGGATAAAGAAGCCATAGCGTAGAGATGAGGGTGTTTGTGTGGAGGAGGGAGAGGCCCTGACATGGTGTCCAGCACCCAAGTTGAGGGAGAGTCTGCTGCATGGAGGCACTGAGAGGAGCCTGTGGGGGACTGTGTATTTTTCCTTTCCTGCTCTTTCTCTGCTCATCACATTACAATTGTCAGTATCCTTCTTAAAGCTGGTGTCCAGGGAGGGATCCAGCATTCTGGAGAGGACAGACCTCCAAAGTCCCAGCTGACTGCTTCCTCTCTGGTCCTAAACCTCATGTTTCAGTGCAGCATAAGACAGGGTTATGAATTTTATTTTGATCATCTATGGGTCCCCGACAGTTTCCACTTCACCAGAAAGTTACCACTTGAGCTAGATGGGTCTGAGGCTAACCAGACCAGACCCCAAATCCAGCACAGTGACACAGGAATAAGAAGAACTCAGGGGCTCCTGAGGGAGGGCCCCAAACCCTAGCTCTGCAGAAAGGAACTAGGTCATGGTTATCCTTTCGCAACTAAGACGCCCTTTGCCCTTGGGAACATGTTCTGCATCTGTCTAGACTGGGAGAACAGGCTAGAATGAGATGCAAAGAGGGCAAGGCTTGTACCTAAAGGACCCAGCTTGCAAGGTCCTTTGTGCTGTGTACCAATGGCATCACGTCTACCACTTCAGGTCCTCACCGGCAAAGTGGGAGCCAGAGTCCTAATAACTGGGACCCACTACTGGAGGATTAAATGAGGTAACTGGTCAATGTGCTTGTGACATGCCATGTTGATCGCACATTTTTGGCTGTCTCTTCTTTGGCAAAGATGGTTGGGCAAAGCAACACCATCTCTGCTTCATTAATGGCAGCAACTCTTTGTATCTCTTGGAAAATCAGTTGGTTGCAAAATTTGTCAGTCTTAATATTCACAGTGTGTGCTCAGAGCCCTGGTTGGGTTACTAAGATGATTGCATAATATGTCTTTTACAGTAATTGCATTGCTGCAAAAAAGGCATAATATTTTCCTAGCTCCCTGGGTCTTCAGCACAGATATAACGAGTCTCGCATCCAGATAGAGATTCTCCTCATTATGCCAATTCTCTAAGGAGAGGTATTTACTTGAATCTCTCCACTCTGATCACTAGAATATTCATTCTAACAGTTACAATCAGGTTTCCACATAAATAATACCTAGAAAGGGGATGTTCATTCATGCATTAGACAATCGTGTAATATTTTCTCCACTTCAGGCACTGTGCTAAACTGTGGGGACACACTGGTGAACAAGATATGGCCTATGTCCTCCAGAAGTTTCTAATAGATTTGGGGATTTATTTAAGAAAATGGGCAATTTCAATAGATTGCAGTAAGCATAAGGATGGGTTAAATATCAAGGAAGCACGGGGCACAAATGAGAAAAGGATGGGGTGTGTAGGCGAGAAGAATCAGAAAAGACTAACAAGGATGGCGAGATAACACATCTTAAAGGGAATAAGATACATGTCGCTGTACATGTTTAAACACAACATATTTTAAGAGACGGTCAGTTGGTCCTGATAAGCAGCCCATTCTCTTACGCTGATAATACTTCATAACAAATACCACACAAGAAAATAGAATAGTCTATATTCTTGCCTGGACCATCTGTGATGAGAGGTCAACTCCTTCCCCAAAGTCATTTATTGCCAATTGTTAGAAAACTTACTGATCTTCACTTGGAAATCCAAGTGTATTATGGGGGTCAGATGCAGAAAAACAAAATTGGTCCAGATTATTCATGCAGAAGGGGATTTAATGCAGAGAATTCAGTTTTGGAAGAGATGGACTCTAGGCCGGGCCTTTGGGAACAGCATTAGAATAACAGAATAAGTCCAAGGCCCTGCTTATGCCTCACTCAGAAAGGCCTCATGGGAACTAAGTTCAAGAATCTCATAGAGCAGCTGTGGCCAGCGCACAGGAGGGCAGGAGGCTGCTGCCCCACTCACAGAGAGCGACCAGACTGTGGCAAGATGAGTACCTGCAGCCACCACACTGCCCATGAAGTGAGTGAGAGGACAGCAGGGCACCGCAGTAGAAGGCTGAATTTCTCAAAGCCATGCTTGAGGCAGCCACATGCTAACCAGTAGGAGGAATCCCAGGGTTTGCTTCCTCCTTCCCCATCTTGTACAAGTGCACCTGACAAAGGGACCAGTGTGCATCTGGAAGATAGTTGCACAGGAGTCTGAGACATATAAGTTTTCAGGACCAGATTCTGCACTAGGAGAAGTCACTGGAGAAGAGAAGAGGCCTGAAATGGATGGTGGGGCCCCAGCCATGCTCTTTGCCACCCTGAGGATTGGCAACCCCTGGGTCCTATGTCCCAAGGTTCTTTATTCCATATTCTTTGTCATGGGGGAAGTCTTTTTATGGGAGCAATGTCTGTGTGATTACAGGGATATTTACAGTCCCTCGAGGCAGGGAGGCTAGGCTACCTTAGTAAGTACGTGATCTTAGGCATCTTATTTAATCCCTCTGTGTCTTCGGGTCCTCACTACAACATAGGTATAGTATCAATATAAACCTCAAAAGTGTGTTGTGAAGACTGAATGAATGAATCCAGGTGGTGGTCTTAGAACAGTGTCAGACATCACTAGGAAGTAGATATTTCTGTTTATATTCGGCCTTCTATGGTAAAGCTCTATGATTAATGTGCAAAACCATTAATAGTAGCCTGAAACATTAGCTTACGCCAGTACTATTTAAAGTTTTTGTCATTACTCATTTTGTACAGAACATATAGAGATGTATTAAGTTCCTCAAAGAAGATTTTATTTGCTGAATGATATTTATTTCTTCTAGTGTGTAGGATCCGACTTCCTATTCCACAGTCTATAATAGAGAAAAGATCTTTGCAGGTTGTTAAAAATTTGGATCAGAAAGTTCTAGTGAGGTTTTACAGAAACAGTACACCTGAGAAACATGAAATGTACTTCTGTTGCTTTGTCTTCAAGATGAAAACTGAAGCCAGGCTTTCTATGCCTAATCTATAATAGAAAAGTGTACAACAAAAAGACTATTGCTGTTGAGAGCAGGATGGACAAGTGAGCACAGAATCAGTTACAAAGGAGAACTGATCCACTACCTACATCTCTTAAGCCCAACAAAGAAAATGCAACCTGGTTTCCACCTCTCGAGGAACTCATGCCTTCTGATAAGCAAATGGGAGGAAATATACCCTTGATTAAGGACATCTGGTCTATGATTAAAAGCATTCATCATAAGAACAATAGGAATATAATTTTTAAATTGATAGATCTATCTGATGGAAAGAAAAAAAAAACAAAAGAAAATGCAGTAAGTAAATAATATGAAGAAATATGGTAAAAATAAGTCTTAATATAATAGTAAATACAATCATGTAAATGTGCTATTCTGGCCAATTAAAAGCCAGAGACTCTTTGATCAGAATATAAAAGAACACACAAATGGCTACATTGAAAAAATGACAAAGCTTGAAAGTAAAGGTCAAGCAAACACGAAGCAGAATAAAACAGAGATTAATCTTAAATAGTTTAAAAAAAAACAGAATTCAAGTCAAAGGGCAGCACAAGGAACACAGACAGATCTGTAATAATAAACTAAGAAATTATAGAAGGAAAAGCTCATGAACATTTATGTACTTGGTAATTTACATCAAGATATACAAAGCATAAAATCTACAGAAGTGAAGGTAAAAATAGATAAGATTAAAATTAAAAAAAAATTTTACTAGCAATTTTTGATATGCTCCATTCAAAAATCAAAAGAGACAAAAAATTAGAATATACATGATTAAACTTTCTACATATTAAATGCACAGGAGAGGGAGAGAGAGAGTCCTGATATGCCAGGTGCCCTGTGAACTGAAATGTGTACATATAAGAATTGTGTCCTTGCTCTACATGGTTCTTGGAAACTGTCACCATTGCTACCTCAGCTACCATGGAACTGGGCGAAGTGAGGACACCGCCTCAGGACGCAGAAGTTTCAGTTGGCACATTTTATATAAAATGTATATATTTTTATATATATTATATATACATTATATATATAAAATCATTCCATCTCTCTATATATGCATATAGATTTCAATATCTATATATATATTCTCTCTATATATATAAAATTATCTTTAGATAGATAATAAATAGTGCGAACACTATTTATAGCAAAAATATACTTTCTTTATGACCATA